AATATCATAAAAATCTATAGAATTAAAATATAAAAACAAAGAAAAATTTAATCTGCATAATTATTTATTGAATTGAAATTTTAACGATAGTAGCCTCTAAGGCTAATTGTACGAACCGCGAACTCACAAGTCGAGAGTTCTAATTTGTTAATCATTTTTATCATAAGCACTTAAGCTTATATTATTTTTTTTAATTAATAACATTGCTACTATTCTTTATTTAAAAAATGTAAACCCCGCATGCCCTCTTTTCAGTCAAGGACAAAGTCAAGTCACCTACTCACGACATAAAAAAATGCTTAAAATTAAAAATTAAAATACTCGGATACTTAGTCATTCTGTTTATCAATATATAATCTATAAAAATAAATAAAATTGAAGTGTCTGTTTGTAATGTCGAAATAACAGCTTTTTACTAAATACATATAAAAGTATATACGGTACTTATAACAAAAACACGATTTTCAAAATATTTGTCTGTCTGTCTTTCTGTCGGTCTGTCTGTCTGCTTGTTCCGGCTAATCTCCGAAACAGCTGGACTGATTTTGATCGGACTTTCACTGGCCGATAGCTAATGTTATAAGGAGTAACTTAGGCTACTTTTAATTTAGAAAAAGAATTAGGGTTCCGCGCAAAAAAAAATATATCTATGAAATCCAATCGTAACAAATTACGCGCAGGCGAAGTCGCCGGGCACAGCTAGTCAGCAATATATTTGGTGAGTCATGAATCTCTTATTTATATGTAATACTTCTTGCACTGCGATGACATTATACACTACATTTGACCTAAAACGTTCCAGACACTATTTCATTTTTCTTTTATTATATGCATTACTTGTTTTGAATGAAACAGGTTTGCTTTAATAAAATGTTTATTGTGTATATTACCTAGCTTTAAATTTCCTTATCGTTTTTAGTATAAGCGTCAATGTACAATATTTTAAAATGAACGAGATGGAACCAAACATTAACACCATAGTTGAGCTCTATGGGAAATGTTAGAAATATTTTACCGCCTCAGATGGGTCGCCATAATATATACATTTTGTAGGTAAGAGCATTAAAAGTCTAACACAACCGATATTATTTTAATTTGTCCACATATGCAAGACATAGTGACAGATTGTACTCCTCGGTTTTCTGTACAATTTGCCGAAGGGTTGTATGTGGTCTATGGTGCTAAAGCCTTTTCGGAAACCGGCTTGTTTGGAAGACTGGAAGTCGTCAAGTCTGTGTACGAGACGGTTCGTAATGACTCTCGTAAACAGCACGTAGACGCGGCTTAGAAGAAAAATAGGTTTGCAGTTCTTCAAGAGAGCGTTGTCGCCTTTCTTGAAGAACAAGACCACCGCACTGCTGCTCCACGCCTCCGGGGCAGTATAGAGCAGCTAAATGTTAGAAAGCATTAAATACCAATAATTTTATATTTTTTTCTTATATATCAAAGATATATACATATAAGATATTATGTCAGATAACACCATCTTTCTGTAAATTTGATATTGTGAATCTCTTTTAGCACCAAAAATTTGAAAAGGTCGGCATTTTTGTAGAATTTCGATTCAGCCGCACAACTAAAGTTAGTCTAGTGAGAATGCAGTTGCAACTAGTTTTATTGAACGCATAGGACCACGTGGACTTTTTTGACAGAAGGGAACAGCTGCATATGGCTACTCTGCTCTGACTTGAAGGTGGGCCGCGTGGCTCTATGCCCCGCAATGATCTATTAATTATTTTATCCATTTTTCATTTTTTTTCAAGAAAAAAAAATCTGCTAGTTTTTCGGACAAGCAATCGGAGAACAAACAATCGGTTCAGCCATTTCAAAGATTAGTCTATACAGAGCAGACAGACAGACAAACATTTTAAAAATAGTTATTCTTGTCGTAATGGCACGCAAATAAATAAATAAAGAGTTATTTGGATATTACATACAGTCATTTTAATTTTATTTATACGTATAGATATAATATTTCGAGGTCTTGTGAAGTTGATCGAAACATCAATTAGTTGCTCCATAACCATATTAGAAATAAGAGGTCGCTTGTGCCCAGCCGTGGGACGTAGGTATAGGTTGCTACTTTTACTTTAAGTAGGTAATAATGTAAAGTCGATGTTTGGTGAGGATAACTCTACAATTACAGCACAATTTGAGCCTTTCCCTTTGCCTATGTCTATTGTGTTTAGGTATTTATTTTCATGATATATTTTATATTACTTTTTTAAATTAAAATTTATATATAATGTATTTGCGTATGCAGGTAAATAAGACACAATTGATCTTAGCGAATCTAATTTCGTTCTCTGCATTAAAATTTTAGGTATATAAATATTATACAACTAAATTAAAATTTACTTTAATAACCTATTAATATACTTAAAAGCAATAAATAATTATCATCATCATCATTATTATCACCTATCATTGTAATATAGCTAAACATAATACCTCAAAATGTGTGGTTTGCAAAATGACGTTGTGACTAGGAGTAAAAAAGGAATACTTCTGTGGTTTGGTCACGTAGAAACAATGAACGAGGAAAGAGTGACAAAGCAAATTTATGTTTCAGAAGTGAACGGCAAAGTCGGGAAGGGACGCCCTAGACGAAGATTTATCGACCGAATCGGCGATACATTGAAAATGGGCCAGATTAGGAGTACCCTTAACCGACGAGCGTGTATGCGTAAATATATGGATGTAAAGGAGGCGAGAGAAGTGTGTCAGGATCGCGCCAAATGGAAGTCCGTAGTCTCTGCCTACCCCTCTGGGTGACAGGCGTAAGTGTTTGTATTGTATTGTATAATACCTCAAACATGATATTCAAGAATTATTTATTGTACTAATTATTTTCTGCATCAGTTAAACTTCAAAAACCTTACTGTTGTTAAAATAATTTTTGATTTGTATTGTTACACTTGTATGTAAAAAAGATGTTATAAGCTTGTTTTATCTATTTCTTCCATTCGTTCGATACAGAGTTCATTACCACAGCTTTTTATGTGATTAACATAAAGCAAAAAAGGTTAAATTTTTAACTACTTTACAATATGTACAAAAAATACTGAACGACTTGTTATTTGATGCTACTAGGGTTCAGTACATCGATAAAAAAGCTAAAACATAATTATATAAAATTTTATCTTATCTCAAATGTTTAAAAGAGTGAATAAGAGTTCAATGTTTTTATTCCGAGGTAAAAACGAACCTGCAGCTTTTTAGTTTGTAATATATTCCAGGTTTTGACTGTGAATTCGTGTGATATCATGGACAGCCATTGGTAGAACATCTGCTACATATTCGCCACAATTCACAGGCTGATTGAAAAATACTCCTAACACTCTTTACTAACCTATGTATTAATATAGGTCTAGTCTAGCATACACTGGCCATAGGTAAAATAGGATAGATAGACAAAGATGGTTATCTGACATCTTTCTTCGATTAAGAATCATAATGTAGATGATCTGTCACTACTGAAGACTAACATATAATGCCTAATTACCAGTAAACTAGTCTCCGGTTCTCTACACCCTACACGAAACACCGTCACTGCTATTTTACGCTGAGAAATTCTGTGAGAGTTTGGTACTTTACCCGGTCGGAGCGACTCATCGTGCTGCAACAAAAAAATTGCATCAGCGTAGGTTTACTAGTTTAACGTGGCTAATTTTATTTTTAGGGCTTTGTACCGTAAAAAAATACCTGTAAAGGATTACTTCGGTGTCCATCTGTCCGTCCGTTCGCCTGTTCGTTCGTATATTAAGAATGTTTTTTAAGGAACAATTAGAGGTGTCAATTTGAAATTAATATCGAATGGTAAGGCCTATGATCCAATGGAGTGGTTAAAAAAGCAAGCGTCAACTTCGTGCCAAGCAGCAGTGGTGGTGTGGTGAAAATAAGTACTGATTACACTTTTATACTTATTTATTATAAAAAGAAATTATATTAATTTTGTTAATTTACAGCATTGGAATATAGGTATTTCTGGATTAGATGAAATATTTACATCTGTCTTCTACATGATAAAACTTATTCGGAACTCTCAAGGCATGACACCCTAACCGCAATGGTCCGTTTTTCTTTATATTGGAAAACATACCCTTAAATAAATTACAATTTTGTTAGGCCAATCTTTTCATTATGATGTCTTTATATTAATAATAAAATATTTTTGCTGAGATCCGCGTGAAAAATAAAACAAAAATGACCTCCCTGTGTGTGCACGTGCAAATTTTAACTAATTAATTTTTATCATTTTTAATATAATGTATTTCCGCCCGCTACTAACTAACCGCATCGCTACTAAGCAGAACAAGGAATAGCGCCAACAGTATCCTGGGTGTTATAGCACAAAAACATGACTGTCCTATAATAAGGCAAATTATTAAGGTTCTGCATGGCTGACTTACCTGTGTGTGAGTGTATGTATGTATGTATGACTGCGTGCGTGCGTGTGTGTGTGCGCTTGCGTGCGTATGTGCATGCGTGAATGCGTGCGTGCGTGCGTGTCATTTTACTTCCTTCGTCCACCTATCTGTATTATTATTATTATTTAGTGATTTTTCTAATATCTCTTATATGGATCCCATTTGTTATCCGAAATAAATATTTATTAATATTATTATTAACTAACTTAAAACTTATTTGACATTTTTCACCTAATAGAAAATACGTATGTGAAGTGTGACATCAAACCTCAGGAACCTATTCAATTGTTTTCTAGTTTCGACACATGAATCATCACATTTACATTTTCAATTATAAGCTTTTATATACGTAAGGTATTTGCTTACTTTAATCCTATTAAAAAAATATCGCGGGATGGCGGAACTTATATCTGCAACATGTAGCCACTCGCACTAAAGAAACTAATTTGATATTCGTCTTTTTAATTAGACTCTTTAGAATCTTGTTGCGATGAATAAAAAAAAGTTTGCTACGTTTTGATCTGACGTGTAAATAAGTATATAATCGACAGATCTTGCGCAAACAACTCCAGTATTCGATTAGCCATAGTGACATAAACATATATTGTTGGAAAAATTAATAATTTATACAATCGATAATTATCAGAAATGTATTACCTCAGCCTTGTTTTCTTAACTTATTTATTGTCGGAGTCTAGTGGAGCAATTGGTAAGTCCCTTTGTCACATTAATAATACATAGCGGTGAAGACGGCCAAGCTGATAAAAGTAGAGTTCCGGGTTCGATTTCTAATGAATTCTGCATTTGAAAACAGAAGTTTTTGGGTTCGAATTTGTCAATATACAATATTTTAATTAATTATAAAATGTATATATAAAATTATAAGATACAATAACAATATATATTATTGTATCTTAGACAGTGCATCGAACAGAATACTTTATCGCATTTAAGCGTTTCATCGGACAACTGTAATTGTAATACTCATATTATTTTTGTTTTTACTTTTTTAACACTAATATTATTTTTATATTTTTTAACAGATTTGCGAAAATAATTTAAAGTAACTGTCGTAGCCGAAATCGCTAACGCGCCTTGTGTTGAATAAAAAAATTAAGTATGCAACGGAAGCTATTGGTGCATAGTGTACTGAAAATTTACTATTACGCAGTTCATTATCTTCTCTATACGGAGTTATTTTGAAATAACTAGCCAAATTTGCAGAGCAGGTTCAGAATAATAACATTTTGTCCTTTTTATCTTTTAAATTCAAAATGCGCGGTATTGCATTATTTTAACTGATTTTACTGCGTACGCACACATTTGTAAGGGTTGATCGGTAGACAAAAACGTTTCTGCACATAAACCATATTCAATTTGGAATAATATCAAATAAAATTAGAAGCCTTATTTACTCGTGTTTTCAAAAACTGCAGTAATGGTATATTTAATTTATATATTTGAACTTAATTTTCAAATTTGGCTACTCTTTGAAAAATAACTCTGTATATAAAAATCAATTGCTGTTTGTTAGTCTCGCTAAAACCCGAAAATGGCTGATTTTTATGAATTTTTTGTGTGTGTTTGAGTGGGTCCTTGGATGATTTAGATTCACAATCGGACCTGGTAGGTGAAGCTGTTGTCGAGATCATGAAATCACCCGTACGAAGAGGGGGCAGATAGCTAGTCTAATATAAAAGTGACTAATGGCGCTTGTTACAATATTTAATTAATAATAATTGTTTAACATATAAATAATTTAAAATGTCATTTAGCTAACCATACATTGATATCCAAATTAAACATGTATGTAAAATTTCAACTTAATCTATTGAGCATAACTGGTTTAAAATTCAGTACAAAATTTGATCCTAACATTCGAAGTTGAATAAAACTTTTTAAAATATCAACAGTATTTACCAGTATTTACCATTTTACTCCAGCGTGAACCCAATACACATTTCTATTTATGAATGTTCTGTTCTGTTAAAAGTGACTAATCTGTTTTATGTTTATTTGCAGCTCCTTTTATTAAACCGTGCAAAAGCGATGACACCGAATGTCTTATAGCCAGTACTCAAAATGCAATTCCATACCTAGGAAAAGGTATTCCTGAGCTGGGTGTTCCCCCTGGCGACTCACTAACATTTAAGGAAATTAACGCTGATCAGGGTGAATTAAAACTTACTTTCAGAGACTTGAAATTAGTTGGCACTAGTAAGTGCCAGGTCATAAATGTTAAGTAAGTTACTTTAATATCCATAATTTTCCGAAAATTGCAAAAAACTTCTAAAAAAATATAGTAAAAATTTCCCTATGCAAATTATTTTCGAGTGTCAATTTCTTTGGATAACATTTAAAAACTTCTTTAAAATAATAGTTTTTTTTTTGTTATTTTTCTGCGTTCTTAAATATCTTTAATTCAGTAAGATTGCTGGATCCGTTTCACAGAAAAGAAAACTATATATTTCAAATACACCCCAAGAGTTTAAATTTATATTTGTTTTTCTAGGAGAGACGTCGAAAAATCGACTATTTCAATTGAGATTGACTGTCCCTTATTAATCACTGGTCTTTATAAGTTAGATGGCAAACTTCTTTTCATCCCAGCACAAGGAGATGGCAATATTGAACTTATGACAGGTAAAAATATTGAAAATATTTTATAAAAAATCTTATATACCAAATTAAATCAGGCTTTATAAGTTACTTTTAAAAATGTATCTTTAGTAAAGGGAATATAAAAGTGTTGCTCTTACTAACTGAATAACAAGATTAGCTCATAAAATTAAAGAGAACACTGATACGAGTACCGAATTAAATTGCTATATCGTGTAAAAGTATCTATATACCGAGTGAAATGAAATAGGAGATAGGCAACAGTTTTTTTTTTTAAAGAATAAGGGTGACAAACGAGCACACCGTCCACGTGATGGTAAGTGGATGCTGTAACCTATAGACATCTTAATTTCTCCCCAATTAATAATCATAATGCAGGTGTGTTGTCACCCCTGAGGACTATCGTTGCGTCTAATGCCTCGTTTCCAGTAAAAAAGGTCTACGGTTCTCTACACTCACCACATGAAACACCCCAGCATCAAGCTACTATTTTACGCTGCCATACTGTGAGAGCGTGGTCCTACCCCGATCGACCCATTTTTGCTATAATAATAATAAAGCTACTGTATGGCTCTACACCTAAAAAAAACTTCATTCTAATCCACCTGCCAATTGCAACTGCAACTATAACAAGTACATTACAAAGCAATCTAACTGGGAGGCCTTTGTTTACCAATCGACGTGATGATGATGATGAAATTTCTAGTAAATTGCAGTCTTACTAAATCTTTTACAATCGTTTTACCTACAAGTTAAATTCAAATTATTGGTATTCTTAATAATTTGTATTTGTGAATTTTAATATCAATTGGAACAAACATTTTTCGTGAATTTTTGTTTTATTTTGTTTATTTCATTAACTAATTATTTAACCATGTAGTGCCGTTGTAACATTATCACTATACACTGTCCCACATGGTACTGTGAATGTCATAAGAGGCGACAGAGGGAAACAAACTAGGAGATGGGCAGCAGCGCCTTTCTAATAACAATTAAGCAGTAAAAAAACTACGGTTGTCAACCAGCCTACAAAGTGTAGCAACTATGACAAAAATCCCCTGGAAGAGGCAAAGAGGTTTATGTTCAGCAGTGAGTTGTATGTTGTATGTTGTTGTTGATTTGTTCATCGTGAATTTAATCATTGCTTAGGCTTTTTTCCAAAAGCATGTCACAGAATTTCTTTCTAAACACTTTTGACAACAAATTAATTGCTTTTTAAAGGCTTTTATTTTTAACCTGATTTCACAGATAAAGCTAAGATCTTTGCCACGTTAAAATATAAGACAATCAATGGAAATAACGGGCAAAAACATTGGAAAATTACCGGCTATGACTATTCCTATGATCTTGTCGAGAGAGTTTATATCAAACTTGACAATCTTTTCAATGGAGACGAAGCAAGAGGTAATTATAATATATTTTTCACTTATTTTATTGCCATTTCTAATTACTTACAATAAAGTTATTATATTAGAATCAAGAATAACAAGAAGCTATGAACTAATTATTATAAATTAATACAGTAAACATGCAAAGACCGCATTCCCTCTAATTTGACATGTGTGGAATAACTTTTTATTTCACCTAAAATTTTCTACTATGAAGTTATGATGATAGATTAAAAAATTAATAAAAGTTAAAAAAAATCGCAATATTTTATGTACCACCAGTAATCAACATTTAAAATTTCAAAAAACAATTTGATTACTATCGAACTTGGGTTGGTCGGTTATTGTGAAATTTAAGGCAAATAAAGCCTTTATTTATGGTGTATATATAGAAATAAAAATCATCAACGACAAAACATTTAAAAAAATTCTTTTTCTATTCACAGCTAAACCAATTCTTGACATTTTGAACAACAGCTGGAAGGAATTAATTGGTGAGATTGGAGGACCTATCATCAAGGAACTGATAGCTAAAGCCGTAGACTCAATAAAGAAGCTATTGATAGTTGTACCTATTTCTGAACTCGAAATATCATAGGTAATACGTAAAAGCACAATATAACGCCAGTTACGAGTACCTATCAGTTTTAAGGACTTAAGTTTAAGATATTTTTATAAACAGCAAAATAATGAACATCTCTAAACATAAAGTAAGGTGGACTGGTTATCAAAAATAAAGTTTGTAGATCCTAGTTGCTTGGGAAGGTTATACTTTAAGAAGTGTATTGACGTTTATGTAACTTGTATGTAGTTTCCTTAAAATGAATACTACATATTAAGGAAACTTAATAAAAGTTATTATGAATAAAAAATATTATTTTACGGAAAAATAACAAATTGCATTTTGAAGGAATCTCAATAAAATTTTATAAGTTATTTTTGTCATTTTATTTTTGCTACTTTAGTATCTAGGAAAATTTAGGAGATTAAGTTTATTAAAAGCTGTGAAAATGTCTAATAAATACTTTATATGTACGTTTTATATTTAAAAATAAATTTCTACTGCTGGATTTTTGTGAACAGTTATGAAACAACCCATACGAATCGTCAGGGTCAACTTTGGGAGATCTCATGATCACCAACAGATGGTAGTATAATCTCTTGTGATCTAGAATATGTAGATAAATTCTTAATTCATAGCCGGTGCGTACCAAAAAAAAACTAATTATGCAAACCGTAGGTTTTTCGTGTGAATACTGGGTTTTGGATGCCCACTATCCGTGACCTATATCTATCTGATATTAAATTTTGTTTATGTTTTTTTTTATTAAAAAAGTAATTAGCTGTCTGCTTAACCAAAAATTGTAGCCTATGGCCTCCCTTTAATTTTGAGAGGAGATTAGAGCAAATCACAATGCTCCAGGGTGTGTTAGTTGACTTAACATGCCCACGAAATATTTCATATTTAAGCACGCAGGTTTCCTCACGATGTAAGCATGCATATTCCCTGTTGGATCTTCTGCTCACCTCTTATCCGGACGGATATCAGTTCAGAAGTATTGTGCCACTCACACTCACTTTTCTACATCCTCTCTGGTGCCCATCAGAGGCAGATTGCAGCCGTGGTTTTGTCACTTCTGTAAAATTTCATCACGTTGTAAGCAGGAAAGCAACGGGGCCTGGGCTGATGTATCGGTGTGCCGGCATATAAACACCAGCGATCATAAAAAGAAGTATAGAGAAAACTAATTCGCCTAGATTTTAGAACTCAAGCATTCTGGACTCTCACCAACGCTGTCTGGAACTTCTGTCTACCATCTCTTCCATCTCTGCTCATTAAGGACGAATCAATGGCCCATGATGCAAAGGGGAAAGCCGAAGTCTTAGGCTTTCGTTTTGCGTCCAAACCGAATTTGATGATGGATAGAACACACCACTGACCATCCCGAAGTGTGAGTGAATCTTGCTGAATGTGCGGTTCACACAGTGCTCAGTACGCAAAGCCCTCCTCACTCTAGACGTCAACAAGTCGAGTGGGCCTGATGGAGTCCCTCTGATTGTGCTGAAGACTTATTCTCCTAAGTTGGCAACAGTTTCTAAATCATGGGAGAAAGCTTTGGTGCACCCAAACTCTAAAAAGTGAACCACTCCAACCCATCTAACGACAGGCCTATCCCCATCATTCTCTTATTTTCCATAATAATGGAAACCATTTTAAACTGCGTTGGTCTTGTTCTTCAAGAAAGGCGATAATGCTTAGTAGAAAAACTACCGACAGATTTTCCTTCTGAGCTGTATTTAGGTTTTCTAGTCATTACGAATCGTCTTGCACGCAGACTCGACAACTTCCAGCCTTCCAAACAAGCCGGTTTCCGAAAAGACTTTACCGTAGACCACATAGTACATACCCTTTGGCAAATTTATAATATATTTATATAATATTAAGTACACAAGGACCGAAGAGAAGCAAAATGTTACTTGCTTTGCGTATCTTGACTGAGAAAGCATTTTATCACGTCGAAATTTGGGCGATACTGAAGTCCCTTCAGCGGTGCTATGTTAGCTGTTGATATATCGAAGTGCTGCAGTGATGTACAGTAGGGGTTCGATGGCTTTCCGTGTACAGAACCAGAGTACGAAACTCATATAACTGCAAAGAGGTGTAAGACGAAGAAGATGCTACCTATATTATCAAAAATTTATGAAAAGCTGATCATGGTAAGATTAGTAACACATTTACGACAAAATTCCATATTAAATGAGAGGCAATTTGGGTATCAACCATATGTGGGTTCTATAGATGCTATAAATACACTAGTCGATGATGTAGTATGTAGACTCAATGATAAATATAAGGTAGGAGGTTTATTTTTAGACTTAATTTCGGCATTTGACACGATAAATCATGATATGCTGCTCCTGAAATTGGAACATTACGGAATTAGAGGCTCAATTTTAAAGTTATTGGAATCCTACTTATCAAATAGGAAACAATTTGTTGAGATTAAAACAATATTAGATGTTGAAGAAACGATATACAAATCGAAATTGACAACCATAAAGAAGGGCTCCATTTTGGGACCCATACTATTTATAATATACATTAATGACTTAACTCCTCACACCCATACCAAACAGCATGATGTAAAACTAACTATTTATGCGGATGATACAAACGCCATTGTATCTGCTAGCTCGGTAGACGAATTAAATACTAAAATGAAAACCACGCTATATGACTTTAAAAGTAGGTTTACTACAAACGATCTTTTATTAAATACAAATAAAACATACGCAATGCTTTTTAAATCTAAAGCAAGACAAAAAGATTCAATAAACGTTAACATTGACGGTATAAGTATTGACTCTGATGAATCAGTCAAATTTCTAGGAATCCATATTGACATGTGTTTAAATTGGAAAAAGGAAATTAAAGCACTAGAATCCACTATCAGTTCAGCATGCTATGCCTTAAGAAGTCTACGAGAAGAAGTTACGTTAGAACAGCTAAAAATGGTTTATTTTGCTCTGATGGAATCTAAACTACATTATAGCATAATATTCTGGGGCAATAGTTATAAGTATAATGTTAAGGCAGCGTTTGTACTACAAAAAAGGGCGATCCGTACCATGTTACGTATTCCACAAATTGAATCGTGTAGGGAACATTACCAAAATCTTGGCATATTAACGGTCCCCTCTCTGTATATCTTAGTTTCACTTACTCATTTAGTAAAGAACTTTCACAATAATGAAACATACGAAGAAAGGAAAAAGAGAGAAATGACCCGCCGAAAAGATTTAAAATTTCTATCACACCAACGTCGAATGTTGTACGCCACAGCACAAGATATCAAGCCATTGGACTATTTAATTCTTTGCCTACCTCATTTAAAACTATTTATTGCCACCACAAATTTCAAAATAAATTAAAATCTTTATTAATTAAAAAAAGCTACTACTCAGTTGACGATTACTTAAATGACAAAAATAAACTTAACCAATGTTAATTTTTATTGTTTATGTATTGTATAATTTTTAATGTAATTTGTAGTGTATTATGACATGAAAAGTATTTAATTAATTTGTTAAATGATGTTTAAATTTTGTCGATTCTAATTTTAATTAAAATAATTGCATGTAAATGTCTTTATCCATGTAATAAATTTCTAATACAATGTAATATTGTTCTATGGAATAAATGGCTATGACTATGACTATGATTATGTTATGAAATCGTATCCCCGAAACTCGAAACGGATACGGAACGTATTATGAACGTCAGTGGCTTTGTGATCACAATAGGGTCTCCCAACAAATAGGTCTTAAGACAAAACAAAGTTATGTGTAATGTTAACTTAGTTGTTGGGAGCACTACGCTTTAAGTTGTCAACGAGTATGTTTAGACAAATAGTCAGATTAGGTAAGTCCAACTTGGACCGAGAAGTCAATCGACGGATTCAACTCGGCTGGGCAGCGTTCGGGAGATTACAACATATAAACTAACTTCATAGTCTGTTCCGTTTCTACATGTGAACTTCCATTTTGGTAAAGTTGCGAAATATCTGCCTTATATGCGAAAGATATATTTTTCTCTACCACACTTTGTTTCGATATACCACTAACACTTTCGTTTAGTTTCAAAGTTCTGTTATGATATATAAGTTTTGTGCCCTTAAAATCCTCATCTACAGATTCAGAGCATCTGTTATTACAGCTTAAATCCCGAAAAATTTTCTCTTGTTTTTCTTTACATTGATGAGATAGTGACTTTGAGCAGTCGTATACATTTTTATCTAAAGTTTTCGGTTCTTTTATTAAACCTATGTTTTCTCATAATTTAATGCTTACTTCTTTACACTTATGTGTAACTCTGCTATTACTTTCTATTTTCTTGCTATTTTGTTTATTTTCAGCCATCATTGTGTCTGTTGATTAAACAGTGACAATATTATTATGTATCCCTATTTGTGTTTTTTTTATTTACTATCGAGTTTTGAGTTTATTTATTATTTTTAGAGGTTATTATTCGAGTTTACCACCAGATTTGAAAAATCTTCAAGGTAATAATATTGTAAATGCATATGCCATACTCCTAACGTCGTTTATCTGTTTATTTTCCAGACAAAATACCGTAAGTGGACTTATGTAGAAGTATGAGAAATTTTATATACAAATAAGTAAATAAATTTTTACTTATCCTCTGGCTTACAATTGTATTCTGTATTTCTTATTTGAAAGGTATTCGATCTATAGGTATGTTGTGTTCGTTGTGTATTGTATATTTTGTATATTATATATTGCTGCTAGGATATCTTATATAGGTAACTTATTGTATATTCCTTTATTTTCCAAAAATGTGGTAGTCATTTTTTAATATCTCTTTTTATTATTGACGCCAAATATAAAGTTAAAGTTAAGGCCTATATACGTCCCACTCCTGGACACAAGCTTCCACTCATTTCTGAGAGGGTTTTGGGGCACAGAAATGTCCGCCACGCCGCCCCAATCAGTGTTGCTAAACTATACATCATCATCATCACACCGTCACTACAGCCGTTCAGAAGTCCACTGCTGAACATAGGCCTCCCCCAAGGTATGCCAAAAAGCACGGTCCCGAGCCACCTGCATCCATCGACTTCCTGCACGTCTCACCAGGTCGTCACTCCATCTAGTGGCGGGTTGCCCTACACTTCGCGTACCGGTACGAGAGTACCACTCGAAAACCTTTTTTCCTCATTGGTTGCAGTTCTTCGCGTTATATGGACCGGCCATCGCCAGTTCAGCTTACTAATCCGTTGGACAATATCAGTCACTCTGGTTCTACTGCGGATATCCTCATTTTTAAGTTTATCATGCAGAGAAACCCCGAGCATAGTCCTCTCCATAGCTCGCTGAGCGACCTTGAGCTTCCTAATACGGCCAGCAGTGAAGTACCACGTCTCAGTTCCATAGATGATCACAGGCAACACGTAAGTTGTTTTCAAGTTTGGAGGTATACCTGACGATATGACTTGCCGTAATTTCCCGAACGCTGCCCAGCCAAGTTGAGTCCGTCGATTGACCTCT